TTTTGGGTCACGCACACTCTGGGAGCAGAGCCCTCAGCTCTGACCTGCCAGGAAGCAGAGGCTAGGCCTGGCGTTACCAATGCAGGACTGCCCCGCTCACCACTCTGCCCCCCACCGGGGGGGTCAATGCCTCCCCACCTCACACAGACTGAGGCTTGCTAACAATTGGTGGGCCTAGTCACTTCATTGCCATTCCCTGCTAGTGCTGGACATGCACCCCCTGAGCAGGAAGATTCAGGCAAGAACAGCAGCAGACGGTACCTGGGCAGAGGGGCAGCCTGACACCCTCCTGCCCCCCATACTTTGGTGATTCTCTCCCTTCTACTCTGAGCTGGAGCTTTGGGTGCCGCCTCCCAAGCAGACGGCCCCACCAGCCGTGCCAAGCCCAGCCATGGGGCGGCAGCAGCCATGGCTGAAGGCACCAAAGATGGAGAGAACCCAGAGCCATTTAGAGCCAGCTGCTCAGAGCCTGTCTCCACGCTGCAATTACAGTTCTATTAATACCCCGGGGACTTCGGAGCGCGACGCACCCTGTGCAACTCCAGGGTCTGCAGAGGGAGGCAGCTTCACGTGGAAGAAGAGCTATTCCCTGGCTCCAGCTCCCCTTCAAAGGTGCGAGCCAGGTCCCTTTGCTCTCCTCTGCAGGGCCTTTAGCATCCCCAGATAAAGGAGCAGCTCTCTTTCCCACGGGGCTGCTCCTGGACTCCTTCACAACGGAGACCCCAGTCTCTGCTCACTGACTCCCTCACATTCCCAAGCTGTGGTCTCAGCCAAGCCTCCGGCTGCCACTTCCTGCCGTAGGCCTCACCTCAGCCCTGCAGCCTTCATCACACCACAGGTGTCTCCCAGCCCTGTTGCAAGGGGTTTCTCTTTTCACCGCTGCGGCAGCCAATCCGGGCTTTGGGGGCAACAACTGACACCCCTTCCAGCTGCGGAGACCTCCCAGGCCAGCCGGCAGGACGGATGGATAAGTCACTCTCCTGGCAGAAATGGCCACTCTGTCCACTCGCCGGCCATGGGAATAACTCAGCCGAGCGGGTGACAACAGCCCTGCCCGAGCCGCAAACGCCATCAGCCGGGACATAGAGGCAGCGAACTGCTCCACTAACACGCCTTCCTTTCCAGACTTTATGGCAAAATAGAACCACTCTGCACCCTCCAGCACGGTGAGATGGAGAAGAGCGCGGCCTGCTTCATCCGCAAGTTCCCAACAGCCAGAGGAGAGAAACAAGCAGATCCCTGCTGCTCTAGGCTGCACCCCTGGCTCCAGGGTTCCCGCGGGGCAGAGCCTGTTTTGGGAGGTTCAGGCATCAGAGGCTCCGGGCTGCACGTGATTCAGGGCCACCAAACAAGCTCCGGTCCGTCTCCGGCTTTGCTGTGGCTCCTGGAGGTGGCAGTCATTACTGAGACAGGGTACCTCCCTCTGAGCTGCACTGGCAGGTTATTCTTCTGGCAGTCCCCCTCCCCCCCCAAAAAAAAAGTGTTTCCAGAAGTTCCTTATCACGGATCCAGAGACGCTCCCCGGCCCATAGACGCAGGGCTCAGAGAGGCAGCGCTCGGCTGTCAAGCTACCTCTGCCAAGACTTCCCTCCCCACTCCTGCCTGGGGCAGTTACCCGAATCTCTGCGCTGCACTCTGCTTACTTCCTCCAGCTCTCAAGCGCCGACCCCATCTGGAACTGTTTAAACCCAAATACCCCCCCTCCCCACTTTCCAAAGTCAGATTCTTCCGAAGTTAAAACAAGCAGAGAGTCAAGGAGGGGGGTGCCCAGGCCTGGCTGGCTCTCTCCCCTCTTCATTTCAGTTTAATTTCTGGGGAACTCTCTGCGCTGCACTCTGCTTACTTCCTCCAGCTCTCAAGCGCCGACCCCATCTGGAACTGTTTAAACCCAAATACCCCCCCTCCCCACTTTCCAAAGTCAGATTCTTCCGAAGTTAAAACAAGCAGAGAGTCAAGGAGGGGGGTGCCCAGGCCTGGCTGGCTCTCTCCCCTCTTCATTTCAGTTTAATTTCTGGGGAACTAGAATAAATCTGTTCCTGGCAATCGTTCAAGCCCCGCACATTTTTCTCATTAATAAAAAAAAAAAAGGCTGCGGACTGCACGCCGTTTGTGCGTGCATGTAGAACAGCCCCCCTCCCGGTAATCCCTCAAGTGGGGGATCTCTCAGGGCTCGGCGCTCGCTGGGCAATTGGCAGAATTTCAGTTTAATTTCTGGGGAACTAGAATAAATCTGTTCCTGGCAATCGTTCAAGCCCCGCACATTTTTCTCATTAATAAAAAAAAAAAAGGCTGCGGACTGCACGCCGTTTGTGCGTGCATGTAGAACAGCCCCCCTCCCGGTAATCCCTCAAGTGGGGGATCTCTCAGGGCTCGGCGCTCGCTGGGCAATTGGCAGAATTAGCCCCACCCCCGCCCTCACCCCCAGATGGATTTCAGCCCCTCCACCAACGGTACTCGACCCCACCTCCCAGGGAAACCAGTCTGAGCAAATGCTGCAGCAGCAGCTGCCATCAGGAGGGCGAGGCCTAGTACATCCGTCTCTCCTACCATCCACCCCCTGAGCTAACTGCCTCCCCAGCTCCATCTGGGGGCAGGAAAAGCCGGGGAGGATGGGCCAGTTCCAGCCTCAACTCCAGCTCTCCCCAAAGCTGCTCTTCACGGCTCGGCCGAGCCCCACGCCTGCAGCCTGCCATGGTTAGGAAGAGCTGGCCACTGCTGGTTGGTGCCTCCCGGCGCAGGGCTGGGATGTGCCAGCCCACTTGGTGTTGCTGTTTGTGTTGCTGAATTCCCATTTGGGGGGGCCCCAAGTAACACCACGAAGGGAAGCTGCACCCCGAATCTCCCTACGTGGGCACACAGCCTTGGCACTCAGTGTCACTCGGTGTCCCTCTCTGTGCAAAAATACCCTCTAACCTAACCAGTCTCCCTCCCCGTATTCTGAGCCAGTCCTGCTCCACCGCCCTCCCCCTGCAGAGGAACATCCCAGCTTCGCACCCGCAAGTGCCCATACTTCAGCGGCCACGGATTCGGGTGCTTGACCTTGATGGGAAGTGGAAACAGAGGAGTCAGATGAGCTCAACAGCAGGAGGGAGGAATGAAGGGCCGGTCAATGGCGCTTCGCTATGGCAACCCCATTGGAGTGCAAGAAGTCTGAAGCAGTGGAGCTTCCCAGAAGAAAAGCTACCACCGTGATGGACCCAGGGCTCTGCCCAAAGGAGTTACAACTACTGCTAACTCCCGGACTATTGGCAGAGCAGAGAGCGGGGATACAGAGCCCCCCACGGATCACGCATCATCTCAGCGTCATGGCTGCCCGATCTGCACCCCCTTCCATTGCCCTCTTCCTGATCGGGATGTGCCACAGAAATCCAGGCACTGGCAAGGACAGGGAGACGTCAGCATCGTGTGACAAGAGCCCCAACGCGCTAATGTGTTCCTAGGGACGTTTGTTTTTAAAGGTGCCCTTAATCAGGAAGGAGAATCACTAAGAAGTCGAGTGTAGGTGGCCTGTTTTGCTTACAGAATGGGTTCCTGGTTTCCTTTGTGGCTAAGCCACCACCCTGCCCTACAGGCTTAGGATCCCCTATTCGAGTTACCCAGTGCCGGCCCTGCTTAGCAATCACGGTATTTCTCCATTCGCCTGACTGGAGAAATTTTTGTAAAAGTTCCTTTTGAATCTCATTTAGTGCCATCTTACTGGGCTACAAAGGGCTCAGCGCAGTTCCGCTGCTTGCCTGCCTGTGCCCACGCGGCTGGGAGGGAAGCCGAGACAGGGGCACGGATCCCACACATTGTTTGGGCCATCAACATTTCCACTTTAACAACAAGCCGAACAAGGCCGACGTGCCTGGAACACGACAGCTCCATCATCCCCCCCCAGCCCAGAGCTACACCGGAGACCGAGGAATGGACGAGGACCCGGATGAAAGATTTTTTCCCCCTTCCCTCTCTCCAATATGGCGGCTTCTGGTCAGAAACCCTGCTCCGAGACCGCGCTGCCCTCCTCCTGCTCCCCGTGCTCTGTGGCCGGGTGCAGAGGGGCAGGAGTTCTCAACCTGACAAATTCAAGGCTGAGAAGGGGTTTTCTGTGCCTGTTTATTTCCTAGTAACATGCTGAGGGCGATATTCAGGGAGCTGCGAGCCCACTCCACTGAGCTGTGAGCCGAAGCACGCATGTCTAGCCCTCCTCCTTGCCCCGCCACTGCCTGGCTCCCTCCCCCCAAACACACTGTTTTGACTTATCCTTGAACCGAACTGCAGAGGAAGCAAAGGGCAGGACAGAACCCACCCATGTCAGGATTTAGATGCTAGCAGCCAGGAGACACCCAGCCGAGTGGTCAGCGCGCTCCCTGTGAACCCAGGGCTCTGCCTGACCCTCCTGCAGACGAGCCCACTTTTGGGGATGACTTGGTAACTCTTATTTAAATTGCTACCTTGGCCCTTAGGGCAGAGCCAGGCTGAGAGCCCCGTGGAGAAACCTGGCACACACCCCGTCGGCTTGTCCGGCCAAGGGCTGAGAATCCCAAGCCACTGAAACAGGGCACCCAAACCAGACCGGAACTGGGCCTACAACATTTTGTGGCTGGACTGGAGGGCACTCGGCTGTTTACACACACACCCGCCCGCCGCCACCCCTCCCCCTGTGCTCGGCACCAAGGAGGAGACGCTTAATCCCGACAAACCAGTTTGACTCAGCACAACAACAGGCGCAGCTACAATTTTAAAAACATGCAAGTCTGTGATTCAGAAACATGCAAGTCTGTGGTCCCTTAATTTTCCAATCGCAGCAGCAGCAACAACTTATCACGGAAAGAAAATGCAACCAACTGGTCTCCCCGAATATTTGGTGCAGTAAGTCATCCCCTTGGTGGAGAACTCAGGGAAGTTTCGTTCAGGCAGTTGGATGCGTTATGCCTCTAACTTGGAGCAAAGTGCTATTATGCAAAAGAACAATAGAAGTGAGAAGCCACAAACATACTGACTGCCACCGAAAGGCTCACCACATGCAACACCGTGCAAGTTCTTCCCTCGCGCTAACTCGCTGCATGCTCCACTTGACACAAAAGAAAGCCTCTCTGCTCCTCGGCTCAGGAAGCACAGACAAGCAGCTTTCAGGCAGCAGGGCATTTTGTGAGGAATGGAGATTTCACAAGTGTAGCCCACACGCTGAAGCCCCACGCCTGGCATTCTCTCCCCCCACTTATCCCCAAGCGTCAATAAAAGGGCCGAACTAAGATCTATTAGTCACCCCCGTCGAGAAATGAGGCATGTCAGTGAAATGTATTTAAACAAAAAGCAAAAATCCTCTGCCAAGAAAATATCTGACAGGCTCAGAACTTGGGGAGCTGGGGTGTGGTTTTGTTACAGGAATGAACGTGGGCGCAGCATTGGGAGAGGGGGCCTTCATACAGCTATGTGGTGGCTGTAGACCAGCAATCAGGAAAAACCAAGACAAGGACTCGTTCTTCATGGCGGCCATTTGTGCCAGCCAAGGCCTGGAAGAGGAGCCTGCGGCTTCTCTCTGCAACTTCAGTCCAAATCTTTCACATTCCCAAACGTTCAGGGAAGGTGCGGACATTCAGCTATTTACATTAGGGGAGCCCAGGAACAGGGCATCTGCTTCGGGAGAGGCGCACAGAAAATCGCTTCCCTCTCCCCAGCCGCAGACGCGCTCCCCAACGGGCAGCCACACAGGAGCCTATGAGAAAACAAACACCGGAGAGGCCGAATTTCACCCCGGAGAAAAACACAAGAGAAGGCAGTCGTCTTGTCTGCCCACCCGGGCCACACACTGGTGAGGGAGCCTGGCGGAGCCTCGTCAGCAGCTATCCACCATGCCTCCTTCCACGACCAATTCTACCCCCAGCCGCACAGCGCCAGGGACCTCGCCTGGACAGCTGGCAATCACATCAGACATGCTGAGGCATTAAACATGGGGAGAGAAAATGTGATTTATGGGAAATAAATTAATCCCAGAGCATTTTGCTTGGGTCCCACATTTGGGCCTTGGCAGGCTGGGACACGGAGTCTCTGACGTAATGGATGGTTCTCAGTGCCCCGAGCGGTTCCGCAGCCCAGACTAAGTGCCAACAGCTGGGTAAAGAGGTGGCTAGAGACCCAGAGGCCATAACATGCATGTTAGTGAGCCCTCCACGCAGGCTCCCATAGCCAGTTCCCGACCCCAGCCCAGCTCCCAGCCAAACCCGTCTCCTTGAATTCAAACGCTTCGCCCGCAGAAAGCCACTGCTGTGGCTTCTGGACAGAGCATTCCTTCTCCAGCAGGCCGAGGCTCTGCTAAACTGGAGAAGAAAAACACATTGTGACTTCAAACAAACGCAGCGCACTTACAGGATCTGGAGAGAAACCATTTTCTTCTCGGCAGCACAAAGCCCTCACTGAGCCGCTGCGGAGAACGGCTTCCCCCCACCCTCTCGGGGCCTTGCTAAGAAACCCAACTCCAAGCGATTCCATCCCAGGACAGGGCCGGGAGCACAACGCCATGCCAGCCGTGAGCGGCGACACCCCAGCCCAAGTGACCACGAACTGCCCGTTCCCAGCAGAGACGCCCTGACAAGTCAGACGGCAGGATCCCAGGCCGGTTACAGAGTATCTGCCTACAGATTTATTACCGTGGTGGATTTATGATTAGCACTAAAATATCTGAAAAGCCATGCACACTAGATTTACAGGAACGGCCCGAATGCTCCAGTACCGTCAGGAAACAGCTTTGCGAGCGGCTAAAAAAGCACAACACAGCAGAAGTGCAGGAGCGTGATCCCCTGCTGTGGGGCCATGGATCGCAGCTCCCACGGATGGGATGGGAAAGACAGGAGTCACTGAACCCGCTGCTGGCCCAGCCAGCCAGCTTCGCAGCCTTACTAGAAGAGGAGCTGAAACAGGCTGGGGGCTAGAAGCGCCCTCTAATACCAGAGACAGTCATGCCGGCTTGTTCCACACACAGGCAGCCTCCAAACCCAGCACTGAAGCAGGCTGCTCACGGAGACCTGGCAAACAGCTGGAAGATGAGCCCCTCCAAAGGAGCCCTCGGCCCTTCAGAAGCAAAGAAAATCCTGCCGTGCCTAAGTGAAAGCGGTTTGTTTTCCCTGCCCTGCTCTTCACCCCAATCCACGCAGGTTAAACAGCAGAGCCCACCAAAGCCCTTCCTGAGGAAAGGCGGCCCAACCTCTCACGGCCCCTTTCTGGGAGCTGTGTGGATTCCGGCTGTTGCATCTGCAACCCATTGACACTGCAAGACCCTGGGTCCCAGCACTAGGGCTGGAATGCAGGTGCCCAAGACAGCCCACCAGAAGCGCTGCAGAAGGACAATGCAACAGCCAGGGAGCACAGGGCTGACCTAGGAGCAGTAGGCAACAAGAAACTCAAGCTGAGACGCATGCCTGTGACACACAATCAATCCCCCTCTAACGCACGCCGCGTCAAAATCCTCCCGATTGTGCTGGGCCCCAGAACAGACCAGGCTCTCAACTCCCGCATCTTGGATAGGAAATTAATTGTGGGATAGATGCGGGATAATGCTGCACCCAGCGATTCCCATCAACATCAAAGCTCTGCAGTGTCGGGTGCTGCACAGATGCATAAGAACCCAGACCCTGCCCAGAAGTACTTAATTCTGCAATATCTATTCACTACAGCCACTCTGTCACGTCAGGCAATTTCCAAGCGGATACTGAGGGGACCACCGCTAGTTCAACATTTCCCCAAAAGAGCAGTGATCATCCACACACAGCATGCGGAGGGAGTCCTGGGGTTCTAGAAGCTCAAAGCCCGAGTAGGCCAAGAGATCCCAGTTTGGCCTTCATAGGGAACCACTCAAGGTGACTTTTGCCTAAGATTTGAAGTTTTCTTGAGGGGGAGAAAAATATACATGATTTGGAACAAAGTCCCAGCCTTTCACAAAGCCCAAAGGCCACAAGAAATGTTGCTTTTTCTACACTCCAGCAGAGGAAGCACCCAAATCTACCACCTTCAAAAACAAACATCACCACCCAAAGGCTGCAGCATGGGACCATGCACAGGGAAAGCAAAATGACTCCGAACAAGACACACACTTCTATTTTTCAGAGGGGTAGCCGTGTTAGTCTGAATCTCCTCGCCACTTCTATTTTTGTTATCCCACACAGCCCTGCAAACTAAATTACAAATGTTTTCAGGGACTAGCTGATGTGTTTAACAAGGCAGGAAATTCTCTTAATCTGTTTTTGGGGGTTTTTTTGGAAGTGGTCAGCAACCCTACATGCACAGACACCTTTTTATCCTCTGGCAAGCCAGAGTGGATAGTTACAGAAAGGGCGGGAGGAGGGGGGAGAAGGGGGAGCAAAAATGAGAAATCCACAATGATCTCAGCAGAGGGGAGACTTTTGTCACTACACAAAAATTCAAGAAGTTGAGTGCAAAAATGAAACGTCTATCATCCACAACTAGCCTCCATTCCAAACTGTCTGTCCACAAGGCACACAAATTCCAGTCTCTTCCCCCTATTATCTTTAGCCAGCTGGGACTACAAAGCTGCTTTCCTCTCACAAATAGGAAGGATCACCCGGCTACCCAGAAGATTGCAATTTCACCCTGTTCGTGGAAAAAAATTAATTGCCTTTTTATCTTCAACTGAACTATAAGAGAGTTTCTTTTCCAGATCAAGAGGGGGAGGAAGAAATCTGCCCACAGCACGCCTACTCTTGGAAGGACACACACTAATACAGTCACCAGCTACTTCCTTTTGGGGGAAGTAAGGTAACCAAAAGGCTTCAGGCTCTGTATGGAGGACCTTCCTTCATATTTGCAGTTAAATCGTTCAGAGCTTTGTAGCCACCATTTGGTCTCAGTAGAGGAGCCAGGATACAACAGTCTAACACCCAGGCATTTCTCTGGGGGCCTCATCAGCTTCTGTGACCTCCAACCTTTCACTTAAAACATTTAAATTTCTAGGCTTTTTGGTTGTGGAGAAAACCCACTAGCTATCAACTAAGGAAGCTCTTTCTCCTGTGTTTGCAAATGGATAGCCTGAAACAGTTCACAGAAAGAGCAGCTGCCCACATACAGCTCAACAGTGTGTTAACTCTGAAGTCTAATGATGTGACAATGTCAATGCTTCACCCTGGATTTGGCTACTTGAAGGATTCAGGCAGAGTTTAGGGTTGTGAGTACACTACCTGTCCCACATCCCACTCGGCTCCTTGGAATTTCAGCGGGGAATCCTAACTTCCTGACAGAATCGGTCAATTAAAAGAATAAAAACCAAGGGGAAAAAACAACCCAAGAAATGTTGCCAACAGATTTTAGTTTTTTCAACCAACTTCCACATATGCCCTTGCAAATCTGGCTCTCAACACCTCAGGGACCCCTCTTGAGCTCCCCACCTCTGTCTGGGCCCAGCGGCACCCCACCACTTCAAAGGGGCACTTCCTGACAGAATCGGTCAATTAAAAGAATAAAAACCAAGGGGAAAAAACAACCCAAGAAATGTTGCCAACAGATTTTAGTTTTTTCAACCAACTTCCACATATGCCCTTGCAAATCTGGCTCTCAACACCTCAGGGACCCCTCTTGAGCTCCCCACCTCTGTCTGGGCCCAGCGGCACCCCACCACTTCAAAGGGGCGCTCCAGACAGACTGGCTGCGTCGCCCTGCGCTCGCCTGGCACCCGGCGCAGACACGGGTGGGCAGGCTGCGGGGAGCTTGGATTCTCGCCCTCGGCGGGGGGCTGGCCAGCCCACGGGGGGGGCCAAACCCTCACTCCCTCGCCAGGCGCCGCTCCC